ACAGCAGCTGTGGGGTCCTGACGGTGTCCACTACAAGAGAGGCTGTTGCCTCCGGCAAGGGGATGGGAGAAACATCCTTGAGGAAGGAACGGCTGAGATCCAGAGCAACAGTGGGGTCACTCAGTGCCGGGTTTGCTTGCAGCTTCCTTCATTGTGACAAGAGGGAAGAAGGGGGTTGGGGTGGGTGTTAGTCAGTGCAGAGGTTTGGTGGAGAGGTGTAGACAGTTCCCTACTAGCATCAACGTTCTCAAAGAAGGTTAGAGAAATGCTGTCTCTTGGCAAAGTGGGCCTCCTGGAGACACTTAGGAGAGTTGCAGATGCCTTTGATGTGACCGCAGTAAGTTTGCAGAGGGCAAATTCACCTCCATGGGAAGATTTCCTCCAGCAACTCAGGAGCTCAGGCCAGAAAGGTTGAAGGCAGGATTGGCCTTGGAGGATTTCCATTGCTAGGAGAGTACAGTGGAGGAAGAGAGGGAGCAAAGGTGTGTGCAGGAGAAAAGCACAAAGGCAGGCAGTGGAACTGGGGCTCAGAAGGGTTGTGTAACTTTCTCAAAGTCACACAGCCAGTAAATGGTTGGGAACCAGATTAGGGAAAGTAATGCACCTCTGATGTATGGTATTCAGGGACCTGGCAGGAAAGATGACATACCCCAGTTGAGTAATTTGAGGGGAGTGTAATAATTTGAGGAAGACAGAACACACAGGAACAGCACTGTGCCTGGGCCCCCTAGTAGGTGATGGGGACAGCCATGCCAGGACCCAGCGACAGCATGGCTGCGTGGAGAGGGCCTCCCTGTCACGTCCAGGGAGGGAAGCAGCCAGACTCTGATGGTCCAGCCAAGAGGGAGCACGGGCTTGAGGACCCCTGCCTCAGTTTCCCCACCATTCCCTGCCCCAGTGTTCCCTGGAGGACAAGGAAACCTCCAGGCTCGGAGCAAGGTACGTTGAGAAATCAGCGCACAACCTTGACTTCTCCGGACACAGGTCACCGAACCAGTCAGGGCATCCAACTTCTTCTTCGCTGTAGGATAAGAGCAATCACCATCTGTGATTTGCAGAGCTCTTCCAGCAGCCGGCGCTTTACGTCCTTGACCCGCCGTCTGTCAATCACCCCAGCGTCCTCGGTTGGATCCCACCGAGGCTGGACCAATACGCGCTCCAGTAGGCCCAGTGGGAGCGCAGCGCTGGGAAAGGATTCCTACCTCTGGCGAAGCCCTCCAGCCACTCTTACTGGAAATTTCGAACCCCGCCTGCGCCTGGCCAAGCGGCTGCCTCAGGCCTGGGCAGGTGCACGCCTCTGGCAGGTAGCTCCCCGCGCGCAGAGCGGCGCCCTCCATCCCCGGAGGAGATGGGGGTGCTGTGGCCGCCTAGACACCCGGAGACCTGGGAGGCCATGGAAGCTCCGGGGGGCACCAGGAGGCGCCGCAGCAGCCCAAGCGGAGGGGAAAGTCTCCTGCCCCGAGGGCGGGGTGACCTGCCGGCCGCAGCAGCCCGCGATCTTCTCTTCCCGCCGCTCGGCGGCTGTCAGAGCGCCCCCTGGCGGGCGGGCATCGGAGGCGCGGCGGCGACCGGGCTTCGAGCCTCCCGCCGCCCGGAGGAGGAGGAAGCAGGGGGCTTGCAGCTGCAAACCCCCGGGAGGCCACCACGCTGCGGTGCGGGGGTGGGATGGGGGGGGCCGAGGGAGGGGAGGAAGGTCCGAGTTCCGGTGCCGGCCCCGCAGGGAGCAGCGGTGGGGCACCGACCCGGGAGGCTGTGGGTCACGAGGAGGAGCTGGCAGGGGGGCTGCGGAGGCCTCCCTTCCCGAGGCCAGGAGCAGAGAAACTTCAGGCGGAAGGTACCGCGGCGATCTGATGGCGCAAGTCCCCTCTTTTACAGACGGGGAATTTTAGGGCCCGGGAATGACCCTCCTGGGTCACCTGGCGGGCCGTTGTTAGCAGGACCTTGGGAAAGAGGACAAGGGACTGCCCCCAATCCCCCGTACTTCTGCGGCCGGGTTAGAACCCTCAGAGGCCCCAGGTGAGCCCCCCCCCCCCATTAGGTAATCCCAAAGAAACCAACCAAAATAAAACATGAACCTTACTAGGTTGCTCAAATTGAAGTTGTTCCTTTCCAGGTTTTCCGAATGCAAATATTTTGCATAATTTGACCAAGGGTTAAACCTTTCTCCAGTTGTGAGCGGCGGCGCTTTGCTGCTGGCCTGGATCGGGCGTGGGGGACCCCCAGCACTGATGAACAGTATTTAAGGACAGGAAGCTCAAACTGGGTTCACGGTCAGCTTTGCCACCAGCTCTGAGCAGGGGTGAGACTCGGGTTCCGCATCTGCAGAATGGGAGCATGGAATAGCTGGCGTTGGCCCAGGGCAGAGCCTCTGGCAGCAGCCAGGCATGGGGGTTTTGGGCTCATTCCGAGCCCAGTGGACCAACCAGCCAAGTGGACTAAAGGGTCAAAGCGGCGGGTAACAGCCCAAGCGCTGCTCAAGCCGCGGATGACCCGCCGACCTCGGGCGGCTGGGGGCACCGAGAATTCCCGCTTTGTTCTGGTGGGGATTGAATGCGCGCCGGGTGGACGCGGGCGGCCACTTGGCTCTGGGGTGCTCAGCTCTGCGGAACACTCCGGGCAATTTCCGATGCCCACGTTTTTGCTTCCACTCCCTCCTTTCACCGCCGGAAAAGAGCCCTAAATATATCCGGCGGCTTGGATTTGTAATCCTTTACTTTTGTTTTACACTGGGCTTCTCTAGCCCACAGGACAGAGACCATTTTTATTAGGAGTATCAAAATCCTTAAAAAAAAAAAAAAACCCACATACAAAACTATGATTCCCACCCAACCAGGCCTGAAGTTTGCCACACCGGGGAGCCAAACACAAATCATAAACCCCTATCACCCCCTCCCCCAAATCTTCAAAAATCTTCATAGCCCCCTCAACAATAGGAACTCATTAAAGACACACCCTTTGGAGGCACTATTTCCTTCTTTCATTTCCAAAGTAAAGGGGTCGGGCTAGTGCTCAGAAACGCATTCTCGTGTTTTCGAAGTTTAAGTAAGTTAATAATTAACTAATGAAATGTAAAATTGAGGGCGAATAAGTCACTTTTGCATAACAAATACAACATCCCAGCGGCAGGGGTAAAGAAAAGCTGGAAAGCCCCCCTGCGAACAGAAAAGACGCAGGAGAACCCTCTACCTTGATTATTGCCCCCTCAGCAGTTGTAGGAAAATGTCCTGGGCGCAAGGTAGTTGCAAAGGGGTGGCGCGGGGTATAGCCGGGGCGCGTCGGTCCCACGGTGGCCTCTGGGTTGTCTGAACCCTCTCTGGTCATCGCTGTCTCCCACTGGCACTTTTTCGAAGCAGAGGTGCGCTCTATAAGGGCAGGCTGGCTTTTTCAGTGTGCTCCAGACAGAGGGGAATTGGCCTCGGGGTAGGGCTGCGGGGCCTCGGGACACTTGGGGACATTTACTGAGAAGCGAAGGCTAGTCTCGGACAGCGGGCAGAAGGGCAAGGGCTCAGGTCGGTTCGTGCAGGGTTGCGCGGACGGGGAAATGCAGCGTGGGCGGCGGCTCTCGGTGAGTCACCTCAGGGGGCGACACTCAGCCCCGGGGGCCCCGCTGGGGTCGGAATCGGAAGGAACATTGTGTCCCGGAAAGGCGCGAAGCCGGGCGTTGGAGGCCCCCTGGCCCCACCGGAGCGGGGTTGCGGGCGCTGAAAACTTTCTGAGCGCTCCTGGAATGAACTTGAGCATCCTGAGCTTCTGAACCGCGAAGGCCAGGGCAACAGTGCGGCGGCAAGAGGCACCCCTCGCCGGCGCTTCCGCCGGGAGGGTTTACAGCTCGTCGGAAGCTTGGCCCTCCCGCCACGAAGGTCCTTTTGCAGAAACCTGGGGGAGAGCAACTAACACTGGATTTTGACTTAAATAAGTGCAACTCCCCGATCAGTCTGCTGCAAGTTGACTTTGACTTTAAAAGAAAAATCGGTGGGAAAGAAACACCTTATCATTAGTGTAACAGGTCAGCAAACCTAACTGGCTCCTAGATGAAGGCGAATGCAGTGTTGGCTTTAATATGTATTCAAGGAAAGGGGAGGCGAGAACATTCTCTTAAGCCTGACGTCCCCAACAAACATATCCGGACAGAACTTGCTACACGTGACTTTCACACTCTCTTTCCACCACGAAGCTTCCTACCAGACTGTCTCTCACTTAATTTCTTCCTTCGCTCCTCCGACCTTTCCGGGCGGTTTGGGAAGGTAAGGGAAGATTTTTCCCCAGGACAGTTTACACCGGTCTCGGTTAACCCGCAGCCCGAAAGAGATCAACCCCTGACAAAGAAGAAGAAAGAAAAACTTAAAAAAAAAAAAAAAAAGTCGAAGGCCATTTACAGACTTTCCACTTAAACTTCCTAAAGCGGTGCCTGTCCCGGAAGACCCCGCCCCCTCCGAGTCCCTGGCGTGGGATGGTCGGGTCTGGGGGCTGCAGGCGTCTCTGGCCTTGACTCTCGCTCTTCCAACCCCCTTCCTTCCCAGTGTACAACACACACATACACACACACACACATCACAAGCCCGCCAGCGAAACATCTGGATCTGGGCTCGAGTCCCCGACACAGGGCAACTACACGGCAAGACTGGCTCCTGCGGAGCCAGCGCAGAAATGCGCGCGGGAGCGCGAGCGCACCACAGCACCACTCAGCGGGATCAGACCTCTCCCAGCGCTCTGTCAATCGAGCATCCTTCCGACCATCTGCTCCTGTCACCAGCCCCTGTCACCAGCCCCTGTCACCAGCCCCTGGCTCCGCCCTCACCGAGTCCGCCCCGTAGCCCGCAGCCAATAGCAACCTCCGACCTCTCTCCACCGTCCCAAACCCTTTCCACACCCCCACGTTCCGGGAGCCGGTTGGCTGCTGAACGCTCAGCGGAGCGCCCGCAGTCACAGGGCGTTCCGGGTTTCTGATAGGCGGAGCGGCCCGTCACTCCGGAAGGCCGGGCCCGCCCACCCCACCTCTGTCTCTGGCTCTCTTCCTGCGCAGTTCTTCGCTGCCTCCGCGGGGAAGTGCCGGGGCTGCTACCCGGGCTCAGTGTGCAGGCCGGCGAGAAGGCAGCCCCGGAGAGCGGCCGCGCGGTGTACGCGGTCCGGAGTGAGCAGGGAGCGGGGGTGCGGCGTTCTCTTGCTGGAGCAGGAGCAGCTCCTCTGCCAGCAGTTGCCGCCACCCCGACTTTCGTTCCAGTTCAGGCTCCTCCCGGGCAACATGTCAAAAGCCGCCACCGCTACAGCTGCCGCCGCCACCTGGGGAAGAGTAGCAGCAGCGGCGGCGGCGGCGGCGGCAGCAGCGGCGGCAGCGGGCGTGCGGGGGCAATAAACCGAACCCCGCGGGCGTCCTGCGGGCCAGGGAACCCTCTCCGCGCTCACAGCTCCGGCGGGCCCCGCGCCATGTGCTGAGCCATGTCCCTCGCCGCGCCCCCGGGCTGCGCATGGGGCAGCGCCTGAGCGGCGGCCGATCCTGCCTCGATGTCCCCGGCTGGCTCCTGCCGCAGCCGCCGCCGTCCCCGCCACCGGTGAGGAGGAAGCTCGCGCTGCTCTTCGCCATGCTCTGCATCTGGCTCTACATGTTTCTTTACTCGTGCGCCGGCTCCTGCGCGGCCGCGCCGGGGCTGCAGCTGCTGGGCTCGGGGTCCCGCGCCGCCCACGCCCCGCCAGCCCTGGCCCCAGGTCCCGATGGGACTACCCCCAGGCTGCCGTTCCAGGCGGTGCCGGCCACCCCGCCGGTTGCGGGCAAGGAGCCGGCCGAGGGCGCCGCGAGCCAGGAGGAGCAGAGTCCCGAGACGCCAGACTCCCCCAGCTCCATCTCCAGCTTCTTTAGTGGATCCGGGAGCAAGCAGCTGCCGCAGGCCATCATCATTGGCGTGAAGAAGGGCGGCACGCGGGCGCTGCTCGAGTTCCTGCGCGTGCACCCCGATGTGCGCGCCGTGGGCGCCGAGCCCCACTTTTTCGACCGCAGCTACGACAAGGGCCTCGCTTGGTACCGGTGAGTTTCCCTACCGCGGCTGGGGCTAAGGGCCGGGGAGGCAGAAGAGGGAGACGTGGCATGTGCTAGGGAAGTGACAGGGGTACAGCCGCCGACCACCGGGCGCGGAGAGGGGCAGACAGGAATAACGCACGGCGCCCGGAATCCCGCCCCAGCGTGGTACGGGGTGCGCGCGGCTCCGCTCTCTCCACAACCCGTAGAAACTTCTCGAGGAGCTCTGGCGGCCCCGTGGCCCACGGTGCCCTTAGAATTAGTCGAAGAAGGGGGCTAGCCACTGGGATGGCGCTCAAGGAAGCGCGCAGTCCTCTCACTGTGGCCGTTTCGCAAACGAATCGATCCAGTGTGGCTTGTATTTAATGTTTCCTCTCGGAGCCCCGGGACGTTCTGCGCCCAGTCGGTCACAGTCTCCACCCTAGACCAACTTCAGCAGCTTCTGCTCCCCAGATGGGGATGGGGGTGGGAGAGACGGCGTCTGTAAACTTTTTTCCTACAGTCCTCCTCCTTGCTGGAACCCGAAGAGGGTTAGATCCGCCTGGCTGGCGGGCAGCTTGGGCTCGGGAGGGTGAGCCGGGCGGGTGGCCCTGCGCCGCCTCCGCCTGGCCCACGGGCGGACGGGCTGACCCGCGGGCGGCGCGGAGCGTGGAGCGGTGCTGGTCCCTGTCGGGCAAAGGCGCGCACTGCAGCCGGCGGGAGCGGCGCGCAGCTTTGAAGGCTCCAGGACGCCTCGGGCTCAGCTCGCTGGTTTCCTCCTCCTGGGCCTGGGTGCCGGGAGAGCGCGGGTAGGGACCCCGTGTCCGCGGGCCCTGTACACGTCGGGGCCCTTGGAATGTAAGGGGCTTATTGGTTGGGAAATGTGCGTTGCTCCGGGATCGGGGCTTCCAGAAGCTCCGGGATTGGAGTTCCAAAAGGACAGCGGCCCTCAGGGTCATTCATAATCACGACCTCTGCCCAACGCTTTCCAAAGCTACCGACATTTGGGGTGAGCTTCTGGGTTGACCGAGCTTCCGGTGGGGCCCGGATGGGCAAGGGGGTCCACACTCCGGACTTCGGAAACTTGGTCGCCTCCCAGGGGCCCCGGCCAACGGCCCCCACCCGTTCTCTCTGGCCCTCAACCCCAACCCTCCCAAGTAGGACTCCATCAAGTCCCCCGGCAGGCACTTTCCAGGCCCGAGCTGCTCGGGACTTCGGGAAACAAAAGAGAAAAGTCGAACCGAACCCCATTCCCTGCTCCCATCCCCCCTTTTAGGCCCCGGGAGAGATAAAAGGGGGCTGACCCAGCGGATTAAAATCGCTCTCTTCCCAGCCTCGTCCTCTCCCTCCCTTTTGTCCTTAATGTTTTTATTATTGTCAGGAGTTGCCTATGTTTCGAGGTTTAGCCAGCCGTGACAGTCACGCTTCCCACCGTTCCCGGGCCATGGACACCGGCTGTTTAAGAATGGGGGCTCGGGAGTCGCGACGTCTGGATTCACATCCCGGCTCTGGCGGCTTGCTGGTGGCGCCGAGCCTCAGTGCTCCTGTCTGTGCAGTGAGGATCCTGTGGTTCCCACCCGGCGGAGAGGAGTGCGCCAGTGCGCTCGGGTGCCTGGCTGGCACGTGGGGGCCTCTCCGATTGTTACCCGGGCCACGAAGGGCATTGTTGTTATTATTTCTTCCTTCTCCCACCTCTTCCACCGGGATGAGGGTCCTGGGGGCCGGGGTGGCAGGCTATAAGGCGCGCCCTTCCAGGGGGAATCCACCAGAGGCCAGAGGCAACCCGGGCTGTTCGTAGATGAGAAAACTAGGGGCCTGTTTGGGAGGAACTGGCAGGGGAGAGCGCTGGATCCGTCAAGTCGGGCAGTCGTAGAAGCACCTGGGGCAGGCTATGGAAATCCCCACGGGAAGATTCACTACGGCTCTTAGGCGGCCGCGCGCCACCTGCTAAGTTCCTGTTGATTGACTCAAAACTGCTCAAGAAAGAAAGAAGCCGCCCTGGAAAGCCTCGCCGCGCGCCTGCAGCGGGGAGCGCAGCCGGGGAGCTTCGGGCGGGACTCCGCGCCCGCGGACTGCCCTGCGAGCGCGGCGCCCGGCTGCTGCACTTCGGGGAGGCGGGAGGCTCGTGGTCTTCCCTGGTCAACCTCCCCCACCCACCCAGGCGGAGGGGGCCGTACCGAAGGTGCGAGGAGGCCTAGGGCCGGCGGCGCTCACCCTGCGGACCGGGTGACGGGCGGGGCAAACCGGACACCCAGCACCTCGCCCCCACGCGCCGCGATCCCGGGCTATCCCAACGGCGCCCGGCGGGACCGCAGGTTTAGCGGATGTTTTTCAGGGAGAGGGAAAAAAGTCTTCCAAAATGCCATCTGCTTACTTAATTTTTTAATTGATTTAGAATATTCTGGATGTCTGGGCCAACGTGTGGACTCAATTATTTTGAAGGCAGCCGTTTTAATTTTGAGCAGACCCCACCGGGAAGGGATACGCCTGTCCCAGAACGCTTTTCCGAAAATCCCGTGCCCTGGGGAGAAGCGCTCGCCCTGGCTGGAGCTCTCTGGGCTCAGCCCAAGCCCTGCTGCTCGAGGGGAGGTGTGCGCTCCATTGTAGCTCCCGCTGCGTCCGCACAGTCAGGCCGCAGACTGGAGCCGAGTATAAATAATAATTAACCGGCGAGCGCTGCAGTTCGGAAACGTGGTTAAAACAAGTCCTCAGAACCAGAGCAGAGGAGAGAGGGGAGACATTTTAGAGGCATTTAGACATTCTGGAGGCGTTAAGAAACTATGGGCACGGATGGCTGAATCCGATAGGCAGGCTGACAGTCTGCAGGAGAAAAGGGCTTGGCTGCGTCTGAGCAAGTCGTTAAGGGGTTTAATCCGTGGGTACACGGTCCTGTTAAGTGGTCTCACCCGTAAACCCAGGGCCTGGGCATATTTGCATCAAGTCTTAGAGCTTGTTAGTAGCTCTTTCCACTTGGCATCAGGAGACACGATCGGTCGGAACACAGAGGGGATTGGGGTGGGATCGGAGCCTCCCGGCGTGGAGACAGGGAGCTGACCTTGCCTCCCGCCAGGAATCACACGCTTTTCGGCTGCCTTACCTGCTACAAAAATCTGAGGTGCTAATGGATGTGTTTCATCTGCCGGGGACCCGATTTTGTTTAGTCTGGGATTAAGACGCGTGTCGGTTTTGTTTTCTTGTTGTTTTTTGTTTTTGTTTTTTTTTTCCTAGTTTATTATCCAGCTCGCTTTTTCTTTCTCTGATCAGGCCTCCCAAACTTAACAGGTGTTTAAAGGACCCCACGGAGTAGCCCTTCCCTTTCTGTGTCATGGTTGTGAAGGGAGCACTGGTTCAGGAAACCCTTACATAGGCCAGGCCTGGAGAAAGCACCCACCCCTTACATTTAGGCTCTGAATATGGGTTTAACCTTTGAATTTAAAATGAAATATGTACTTTCTTTAATCGGTTTCTCTTCTTGATTTGGCTTAAGTATAGTAGATTTTCATGAATTTTAATGACCCCAGTTTGGGAATTAAGTTAGCTAAATATTGTGTGATATTTTTTTTTTTTTTTTGTAATATAAAGAAATGTGCCTTAGGACAGTGGCAAAACTCCTTCCCCCACCTTGACTCCTCTTTCCATTTTTGGCTGTACAAAATAAGCTGACACTTCAATGCTGTGGCCACATTAAAAAAAAAGTGTAGTGTGTGGGTGGTTTAATGATGTTGATAGCTAACACTTACTGAATGTTTTCCCTATGTGCCAGGCACTGTTTCAAGTTTTACAGGATTAGCAAATTTAATCCTCATTACAGTCCTGTGAAGTAGGTACTTTTACAGGCAAAGAAACACAGGCACAGAGAGGTTAAGCAAGTGGCCCAAGGACTCAGAGCCTGAAAGTGGCAAGGCTTATACATAGTTACCCAGGTTGTCCTGGTCCAGAGGTCACGCTGTGCTGTGCTGTCTCGCTTAAAGTGACCCAAGCATGATGTTGGTCACATCTGAGGAGTTGAAAATGGGGTTTGGTTTGAAAGAGTTAGCGTTTTCTGTTTTCACCTCCCGTGACCTTGGTCTGGATTGCTCATTTTGTCAATTTTAAGAGTATCCACTCCAGAAGAGGCCAGCTACTCCATCCAAAGGTGACTGATAACTAGAGTAAGGGTAATGACATCACTACAGAAGTTTAATTTCTCTGCTGCATAGGACAGTTGGAGTCAATGGAGTCATTAAAATGACAAAAATATCACTGAAATATAAAGAAAGAGAAAACATAGGGAGTGTCCCTACTGAGAGCCAATTTATTCTTTTCCATTTGCCTTTTTTAAGGCTGGGGAGGTATGTGGAGAGGACATAGGGTTAACTAAGATGTTACAGAACTTCTTGGAATGAATTTATTCATTTAAAAAAAAAATACAGTGCCCCAAATCAACACTGAAAACGTGTACTCATTAACCAGAAGGTAGTTGTAACTAACACTTGGAGCAGATTTCTTTAGAATTAGATTCTAAAACCCAGTCATTTAAGAAATCTCTCTTGAAAGCCAGTAGCTGGAAGTAGTAACTTTTCCTGCATTTTCAATTTAACAAATGCTGAGAAAACTAATGTCTCCCGTGTTTTCCCTCTGCTGGTTCTGAAAACCTGATGGCAAGGACTGCTTCTGTCTTCACCGAGGGAAATTTAAGATCCGATCTGATTGGAGATAATCCTTTTTGAAGTAATTTGCACTTTCTCAGTCCTGGAGTTTAAACCAAATATGCAACTCACTTCAATCTGTTGGGTGAAGATCAAAAAATTTGCATTTATATGCAACAATTTGAAATACAAACCATCATGTTACAAAGCTGTCAAGATTTATTAGCAAGACAGTGTAGCATGTGTTGAACTCTGGTTTTAATTAGGCACCTAAATTAGACCATAAAATGGTTGATTAATCTTTTACAAGTTGAGGGGAAAATATAACATAAATTAACCTAATCATAAGTGTTTTCCCAGATGTTCTGAGTTAATAAAATAGTCAATATCTAATAGCAACCT